TACAGAATTCTAACGCGGAGAAGGATTAATAACTATAAATTTACACTTCAGAGCAAAATTTGGATTTATTTGTGCTGACATTATTTAAATATTCTTGAAAAAAGCTTAGTTGTTTTTGTTGTTCGTCTTCATAGCCGCATATATAAAAGCCAGCAAATAGCCATAGTGACAGTTTATTATTTTTAAGTTACGGGAAAAACAGATTTTGTTGAGAGAAGACGGCATAACGGTCAAAGCGACTCTTTTCTCCTCTGCAGTTCCCAACGCCGCTTCATGGTTATGATTTGTTTAAAGCCCATATCAATTTTTTCAACTTCTTGTTTCATTTGACAAAAAGTGAACAAATTTAGCTAAGATAATACTATAAAAAAGTAGTAAAATGGAACTAACAGTTAATTGATAAACAATGAAATAAATGGCTTCATCGCGGTTTGATCCGGCCAACAATTCAGCATTTTTTTTGAAATTTCCAGTTTTTAGAGAAGTTGAGGGCAGTTCATTCAGAAATTCGTTATCAATTACAGGAACCCAAGGAAAATCAACGAATTCAACAGTTGGACTCCATTCAGCATTCAAAAGTTGTGCAGCATCTGCTTTCATAACGCAATCGTAAATTATTTTCTGTAGACACGGAGCTCCGTTAAGAATATTACTGAATTATTTTTTAAAAAACAACAAAATATCTAAAATAAGCTACTTTTTGTTCAGTTGTAAAGATTTCTTGTGGTCAAACAAAGCAAAATCTCAATTTGCGATACGAAAGAAATCTCAGCATCCATTAATTACAATGTTTAGCTGTTTATTAAGTTAAATATCTGCTCCATATGAAATCTTTTTTGGGTAATCATTTCATCTGTAAACAACTAAAACTACATCCAACAAACGTAATTGAAATGCACCAACTTTTTTAACACAAGATAACTGATTTTGTAGTATAAAATTTCTGGTAATTTTACTTTTAGTAAATTTGTTAACTGTAACGTAATGCACCATTAAACCAAACGACGATCGTTTGATTGGAAAGTGATATGTGAAACAGTATAAACGAATTGCAAAAATAAGTGGTCAGTTGAGGTTGCTGACATAATTTGATTTGTGGTAGATTTGTTAATTGTCAGAAAGATAATAAGAAAAAGAATTATGTGTTAAAAGAACATAAACAGAGTAACCGAGAACATCCAAGGATGTCAAAAGAAAACAAAAAACGAAGCGAACATAGTAGCTTTTGAATGTGAGAAGTCGTTGTACTTTTAGTCGTTATTTTTCTATTGAGTTTCACCAGTGGGCTGATTTGTTGTCTTTTGCGTTTAACTGCCACTTTTAGGTAAGCAAAAAACCTTTTTAAATATAGAAAGTCTTACTTACAGCTCAAATTTGCTGTTAGCAGTCTACAATAACGAACAATATAAAATTTGTAAGATAAAGTGTAATAAACTAGGACCTTTTTCTTATTCCAATCTGTGAGATCATTGGCATCCATAGGATGATCTGGCGCGCACAGAGTGTTATATAAAATAACAGCTCTACTCATCGCCACCTGCCTAAGAAATAACGTTAATGATGCCTCAATTACAAGTTGGTAGCTTTGGTGCATTACAAACGGTCTAAATAGATCAATGCTGATCTTTTACCAGAAGAAATGTGGATTGAACAACAGCCTATGGCAATCTGATACAAACAGCGAGCGAAGAACGAAAAATTACTTTGACTCAGTAGCCCATGGTGACGTCGCTCCTCCACTCTGTAATACAGCCCGGCGGAAGTACTCCTGACTTTGTCGGCTAACATAGTGCAGTGCAACAGATGCTGCTCCAGCACTTTCTCCAAAAACCGTTACTCTGTCTGGATCGCCGCCAAAGGTATCGATATGTTGACGTACCTAAAAGAACCGGATTCAAAATAGCTCAAACTCAGGTGTAGCAAAGTGTATTCAAATTTTTGCCTTCACAAAAAAAAATTTTTTCAAATTTCAAAATCCTAAATCCAATTAACCCATTTGAAGGATTCCAGCTGATCCCAAAGTCCCATGTTTCCTGGAACGTTTTCATCACCTAGGTAAAGAAATCCAAAAACGCTAACACGATAATTGATTGTAATTACTATCACATTTTCTTCGCTGAAAAAGACGATACTAACAGAAAGTTGTATATAAAAACTCTGGTGCTTTTTTGAGGTTACTGTTTTTTGAGGTTACTTTTTGAGGTTACTTTTGAGGTTAATTACTAAAATTTTTCAAGCTTACCAAAAAAAGTTTGTAGATTAGTCTACTTAATAATATTTTGATAATTAGTTATACATTTACAAAATAAAGTGTAGTAACATAATTAGCTTAAAACTTAGATGCAGACTTTTTCTGTAAATAATATTCAACATTTTTTTTATTTGGAAGTGACTGGGAGAATAAAACCTGGCTAAAATTTTTCCATCATAAATATCAAGAGTGGAACAACCAGACCAAAAACCACCACCGTATATCCATATCATTACTGGTAGGTTGCGCTCTTTTTTGGCTGTCTCAGGAACGTATATGTTGAGGTAAAGGCAATCTTCTGATATTGGTACGTTACTATTCCACATTGTTGCTCCATAAAAGTCGCCAAAATACGTATCAGGACTCTACGCAAAGAGAAGTCCTTTTTATTTTTGAGTTATTTAAGGACGGTTTTTTGGACAGTTTCTTAAGCTACTTAAATTTTATTGCTGTTCCTTGTTCACATTACTGTTGTTGTTTTTTTTTTTCTTATAGAAGGTTTGTGCATGAAAAAAAAATTTCATTTTTTTCTTTTCTTCCTTTTTTTCCCATAATTTTGCTTATTTATCATTCTGTCATTGTCAGTACTCTAAGTTTTTTTCATTGTTCTTTTTAGTTTTTTTTGCAGAACGAGATTACAGAAGTGACAAAAAGAAAAAGCAAAAATTTATGTTTATTTGAAAGCTGTAGGTAAACATGGTACATAAACTCATAGCTTTAACTCGTCAACTTTTATTTAGCTCGTTCTTTGTGCTAAAATTTAAACAAGAAAGAAAAGGTTGTAAGAATTCCTACAAAATAATGCAAAACTGTGTTACCTGCATACAAGATTTGGGTCTATTAACCGCATTAATCACCTCTCGTCTTGATACTTTTACTGGCTTTTTGAATCGACGTTCATTAATCGGAGGCTCTGCATAGGGGACACCAAGGTATTCAGTAACGGTTTTACCATTTGCTGATTTTGACAGTCGTCCAATTATTTTTGTACCGTCGTTTAAAACCACTTGCTGGCTTATTAAGCTCTGCAGATGTAAGATAAACACAGTTGTTAAACCGTCGTATTAGTATCATCTATTGTTATCACAATTTTTGCTACTCATTACCATTTACTGTTATTATTGCTAACATGGTTATTAGCTATTCATTTTTTGTTTATATATCAACCAAAGCAGAACTGTAAACTAAAATTTAATCAGACGATTAAAAAGTTATGTAAGAAAAGTCAAGAAAACCTGTATTTCTAGGCTTGCTATAATCAGAAATAATAGCCAGTATTTCATATTACAATATTGCACCAAAATAAAACGACATTTTGAGTATCAGTTCGCACAAAGATGCCGTCCTGTATAAAGTATTCTTTTTCTTCCAATGCTTTTGTAT